AAAAAAATCCTTGAGGTAATATTACAATCTTGGGAAAGAAGCTTGTCATCCACCGTACACAAAAGTGTGAGGTAATTTTACCACATGCATGATATAAAGTTACGTTCTACATGTGAGAAAAAATGTGGCGCGGAGATATGACACTAAAAGATGTTGTCGTATTTTATAATAGAAGTGAGGTAATTTTACAACAGGAATCGAGGTAATTTACAACATGCATGCTAGAAAGCTATGTTTTTCATGTGAGAAAAAATGTGGCTCATAGGGTGAGGAATAAATTATTCTTCGCCCTGGGTGCCTAATAGAGAGAGTGTGTGTGTGCGCGCGTGCGTGTGTGTGTATATATAGTGTTACCATTTATCACCAAGAGTGCAGAATAAGTTAATCTTCACGCGAGGTAATCTTACAATCATTTCATAAATAAATTACATTTGAAATACAAATAGTTACATTCATAGTGATTCACTACATAAAATTTGGCATAAGAAAAAAAATATAGATCATAAGACAAGAAAAATAGCACTTTATATATATATTGTTTTTACATTTGTAATTTTACGTAACATAAAATATTTTTCATGGCAATTATGTATAATCTCTTACATTCTCTTTTTACATTCTCTTATATATATTTTTTACGGTAATTATATATGGATCATTCTCTTTTTACGGCAATTTCATGCGGCCATTATGTCCCGCTAACTTGCTTTCGCTCGAAATGAGTACTAAACACGAGCTGATAATATCATGCTTGCTTCTCAAATCACCTTCAAATTTATGTGTGGCCATCGAACAGGCCATCAGCTGCTGCGTTTGTGTGGCTGCCATGTGGGCCTCCCGTTGAGGTGTGGTAATTTTTTATTACAAGTAGACTGCATGATCTTCTTCTTCTTCTTTTTTGAAGCAATGATATTATCAGCTAACATCAACTTCTTTTTGCAGGCGCCGGCTCCTCTAACAGGACGTGTGTCGGCCCACAGCGAGCAAAAGAAATGGGCCGACACACATCCTGTTCCGCTGGTTTTAATATTTTTGTTTCACTATTTATTTTAATTTCTGAAATGGAAAAGGGTATTCTTACCAATTTTAGAAATGTTCATATGTTTCAAAAATTTGTTCACATCATTTTAAAAATCTTTAGCCAAAGTAAAAAACATATTCACGTCATTTAAGAAAAAATGTTTTGTATCATTCAGAAACATGTTCATGACATTTAAAGCATGTCCACCCACTTCAAAATATGTTAGTGACAGTTTTTTATAAAATATGAAGAATATTCATGTCACTTTAAAAAAAATTCTTACCATTCAAAAAGATTTCAAGACGTATTTAGAAAATATATAACATGTATTCTAAAAATGTTCAAACATGTTTATGGCAATTGTTTATCATATCAAAAAATATTTATGTGTCTTAAAAATTTGTTCAACGTGTATACAAAAAAAGTACAATGTGTGCTAAAAAAGTTGAATGTGTTTGATAAAAAGATAAAAGGGAAAGGAAATATATAAAACCCCAAAAACCCAAAGAAGACCATGAAAATAGATAGAAAAAAAGAAGGAAAACCACACAGAAGCTTATAAAATCGATTTTAAAAGGTCCATAGATGCTTCCTAAAGCCGCTCCTGAAAGCTACTGTCTCGCTTGCGGTCGGGATATAGCTCCCGCGCCTGAAATCGCCTATAGATTACTCCTGTAGGCAGGCGCGGCAGAGCGCGCCATGCCTGTCTAGTTCCCATTTATGTTTGTTAGTGGACGTTCACTACTCCCAGCCTGACGACCGGCTGGGAGTGTGTTGTAACAAACTCTTCCCTCTTTATTTAATATATGAGACAAATATTGTGTCTCCATTTCAAAAGAAAGTGTATACCAGTTGTTGCAGGGTATATTTATTTGTTTGAGAAATGCAGTAATTTTATTTGTTTGAGAGATGCAGTAATTTTTTTGACTGAAATTCAGATGAATCATACATTCAGAATGTAATGCGCGGTCTTCATGCACTGAAATTCTGGCAATAAAATTCAGAATAACTCAATCTTCAAGTAGTCGCTGTTACTGTATGAAAGAATCCAGTGACTGAGATAGATTCTGTTGAGCTCACCAAATAGTTAATTTTCCTTTTCGCAACAGCAAAAAAAAACAGATGAGATTTTGCAAATACAACAGCTACGTAATCAAATGTATTACCCGTGCAAAAATTATGTAATATACTATCAAGTATTTTACCTAAACATTCTTTTCAACTCAAGACAAATATATTTCCCGTGCAATTTGTGCATGCTACTATATATGCTAGTTATAAAAAAAAGGACAACACAACACCACCAAACAAACTGGTTGCTAGATAAGCATCAAAAAAAGATGATTATATTATAGATAAAACCCCACTCACAGAAGAGAAACCATCTCTTAATTTATTATCCATACATAGGCAATCACTGCTAAAACTCTCTAAATAAACAAGTTCAAACGTTGAACTTATATATTTTAGGGCGGAGCCCAACTAAGAACTTTTCAGTCGAGAAAAAGAAACGAAATCCTTGGCCTTGATTTTCCCATATCTTGGTGGTCGGTTGTCATCCAGCACCGTTTCCGCATCCACAGCATAAAACCTGGCCAGTGAAAGCCTCTCCTTGTCAGCATTCGTCGCCACCCTGTGAAGCGGGCTCCTAAAGATTCCGTTGGTCATTATCTGCGGGCATCAAATAGTATTTATTTACATACAAAAGATAACAAAGGAAAATTGTAGGATTCAGGAAATATATAGGATATACTTACAACACTGTTGATTGTAGATATATTATTGAAGAGAGCAGGTGTTTAATTAGCTTCATGCCTCCATGCAGTCTGCTACGTTAATCACCAATGTATAAGGCTTGGGTGGAACATTGTACCATTTCCCGCCCCTCTCAACTTGCAAGCCACCGACATCGTGGTCGACGAATAGGATGGTAAGGAGACCACCATCAGTGTGTGGCCTCCTGCCCAAAACTAGGTCAGGCCTAGGACATGGAGGGTAGTAGTTGAATCTAGCAAACCCAGAAGCCTTGTTTGATATTTGGTACACGAAATAACCCTCATCGAGGTCGAGGAGCTTGGCTATTGATCGCAGGATAAGGTCTCTTGTTCTCTTGGTTTTTGATGCCTGTTAGGGGCGCGGTTGGAGATGCTCTAAGATCGATGAGAGGGATGGGGTCGGGCATCTCATCAGAGGCCAGCACCTCATCAACCACGTAGTGTGGCGGCGGCTCCTCGGCCGCCGCCGCCAGCTCTTGCAGCGTTGTGTTTGTGCGCACCAGCGACATATTTGCCTCGTCGTCAGACGCAGCCATTTTGTTCTAGTCCTGGGTAAATACCGGGCCACTTAAATCAAGGGGAAAAAAGAAAATAATAATAATAATAAACGTATAATGTGTGTGGCATCTACACTGGCTAGCTTAGCTTGGCAGTGTATTGGATCTGATGATATTTACATCTAGCTAGCTATATAGCGTCGAAGAGTATTGAATCTGAATCTGATGCACCAACCAAACCAAAGAGTAATAATTACCTTACCGTAGCTAGGGGAGGCGACGACAGTAGCCAGTGGCAGCCGCGCGTTCACGGTTCAATCGAGTCTTTATCTGAGAAAGAAAGGGGAGGGGTGCGGGGGAAATACACTTTGGTTCTTGGTTGTACATGCACCCTATATGGATTTATTTTTTTAATATTTTAATAAAAAGTCAAAATAGGTAAGAACTATTTTGACAAAACACTTGACTTACTTTTGCACTAGTATATAAATCTCGATGGAAAAAAAACAAAAGTTGACCTCACAGCAAAATAGACAAAAATTATTTGCTATTATAGTATAGGTCATTATTCACACTATTTTAACCAAAAATTTGTCTTTTTTAAAAGAAGTCAAAAGGAATTTTTTTTGTGGATTTTATTTCTCACGAGTACAATAGAAGGTCAAGATTATTTCAAAAATATTTTCAGGAACTTTCGACTTTTTGTTGAATTACTAATTTTTTTCCATATAGGATGCATATGTCCCCATAGACCAAAAATTCTCCTCCAGGGAAAGAGCGGTGGAGGATGCATGGGCCCCGGCGTGGGCACGAGGACCCAGCGGAGGCGGGGTACCACCTCTGGAGCGGAGGGTGGTGGTGGTGGGCAGCGTACCTGGAGGAGCAGAGCGGAGTGGCCGGAGCTGCGCGCCGGGCGGGAAGGGTGGCGACATCACCGACGTTGCGTCGATGGGCGCCGGGCGCTGGCGAAGTGGATCCGCCTTGATCGACGATCTAATGCCTCAATGCAATGTGGATGGGGATACTTGTAGGGCAGGCGTGGGCCAAGACGACGTGGTGGACACGTCCGGACCGTCCCATATTTAGGCTGGATATGAGGGACGCCGATCAGTCCGGACATTTGAGGCCCGTTTGAGGCGTCCGGATGGGTCGACTTTTTGTGACCGGTCAACCCGCCCGGTTGTAAATGCTCTTAGATTTTGATTTTGCCCCGACTCCCAAAACTTGTTGATTCTATCGGGAACTCGGCAAACTTTGTCTGCCGGGACTCGGCAGTGATAAGCAACCTGGCAGAACTCTGGCTTTGCCTTGTTCCAACGAAAAACGACTCGGGGAAGTAAATAAACTCAGCGGAATATCAAGTTCGCCGAGTTCAGCAAAGCCTGATCGGTGGACCCTAGTGTACAGCAGGCGAGGGACACTGAGTTCCAAGTCCATTGTGAATCCCAAGTTGTCAAAGAGGATTGGAATTCAATTCAGTTGAAGCAATCCTGAATGCTTGTTAGGGCTACATGTCCCTCTCATCTTATGGCAAGTTGCTATTTTTCAGGCAGGCGGTATAATATATTATTAAGATTGAAATGACTATTTTTTTACTTTATGGACTGAAACCTTTTTTTGCTTGCTGTCAATGTATGTATGTACATTACTACTACTCATAAATAATTAAATAAATATTGGAGTAAGTAATGACTCTGTTTTCAGTGCGTGCAAGGAAGAATTCACAATTCAGCAAAAGCAACCGTTGCCTTCCATTCTTGTTCTTCAGAGTGTATAATATATATATAATCAACTGCTCTCAACAAATATACTCCTACTAATTAACTAACACTGCAACAAATATATTCTGTTGCCTACTCACTGCATCCATTCATTCATTCATTCATGAACCACCTCCACAAAATGCAGATGCAGATGCAGATGATGATGATGATTCAGAGGACCAAACCACCAAAAACACCAGTTATTACAATGCACTTCTTCTTTCTCAACAACCAACAACCAACCCTTCCCCTCCCTGTGCACAAACATATTAGCGGATTAGGGGCTGCCGATGATCCCCGACATCATCCTTTTTATCTGCACAAACACACCAACACATCATTGTTATTATTATATCTACTATTACCAATGACTATAAACACCGGCCACGCTTGCACAATCTATTCTACTTCTAGGGAACCAAACACATGTACTAGTATATCCACACTAAGTATTTTCACAACAAAATACTTACTGTGATGAACCACTAGCAAGTATAAACAAACCAACCGACCAAATACAACGATATTGAGGTTATATGTATATGTGCGGTAAAATAATATAGGGTTACTCGCTCAGTACCTCCGTCTTGTTCATTCCAATCACATCCCTCAGATCATCCACCTGCAAAACCATGCAACAAAAGGACAACGAACAGCATAAGTCATAATTAACTTGCCCAGAGTAGTTTCTTATTACTTTACTTGTGCCTAAACTTTCTTCCATGTATCAGAGCTACAACACCTACCCCTTTAAACAGCTCCGGTGAATGCTCACGAAGCTCGATGATGTAGTTGGCCCTCTTCTCTCCGATGCCCTGCAAACCCACAGCAGGTTAGTGAAAACAAAACAAAACAAGACTGAGGGGTAACAATCCAAACCGAGAGCGACAAACCTTCAAGCTCTTCAATTGCTCCCTGCAACGGACACACAAACATGCATTAGATAAGTAGAGACGGCTCCCAATAATTGATTTATTATTAGTTAGGATTGCACTCACTTGTTAGCGCTGTTGAGAAAACTCAGGCACTCCTGGAGTATGGATTTCTGCGGTAACACAGAAAGCAAGTGTTCATCAACAAGGTCGGTCAATGATGTAGAGGAGATATGGCAAGGATGTGCCAGCAAGGTGTGAACTACCAACCTTTATCCCGGTGCTGCGAGTCTTGAATGAGCTAGTCGGATAATCTGCTGCTTGCTCAAACTTGAGGTGCATCGCAGGAGTCCTTGGATCTGCTGCTTGCTCAAACTTGAGGTGCATCGCAGGAGTCTTTGGTTCAGGTGCATCTATGTTGGTCCCACCCTGGACAGATTCCATGCCCACTTCTTGCGTTGTTTGAACAGCCACTTCTTGCGTTGTTTCAACAGCCACTTCTTGCTTTGTTTTAACAGCCACTTCCTGCGTTGTTTCAACAGCCACTTCCTGTGTCGTTTCAGAGGCCACTTCCTGTGTTGTTTCAACAACCACTTCTTGTGCTGTTTCAACAGCCACTACTTGCGTTGTTTCAACAGACACTTCTTGCGTTGTTTCAACAGCCACTTCCTGTGCCGTTTCAACGGCCACTTGTGTTGTTTCAACAGCCACTTCTTGTGTTGTTTCAATGGCCACTTCTTGTGTCGTTCCAGTGGCAACTTCTTGTGTCATTTCAATGGCCACTTCTTGTGTCATTTCAACAGCAACTTCTTGTGCTGTTTCAACAGCAACTTCTTCTGTCGTCTCCATGCCCTCCTCTTCCTGTGTCTTTCCAGTGGCAACTTCTTGTGTCGTCTCCATGCCCTCCTCTTCCTGTGTCGTTCCAGTGGCAACTTCTTGTGTCGTCTCCATGCCCTCTTCTTGTGTTGTCTCCATGGCCACTCCTTGTGTCGTCTCCATGCCCTCTTCTTGTGTCGTTTCCATGGCCGCTTCTTGTGTTGTTTCCATGGCCACTTCTTCTGTCTTTTCCATGGCCACTTTTTGTGTCTTCTCCATGCCCTCTTCTTGAGTCTTTTCCATGGCCACCTTTTGTGCCATTACGCTCAATGGACGAGCATTAAGAAGCTTCAGTGAGTTTGATATCTCTCTCAGCTTGTCGCTGATCTTTGGGGTGCTCAAATTAGTTTTGACTGGAGTCTTCTCGACAAAGGCATCTGGGAGTGACGATTACTTGTCAACTAGGTGTACACCGAAAGGAGGTTTGCCAAGAAAATATTACCAAGACTAGTGTTATTATACCAGGAATGTTTGGAGAGCAGGTTTCGCCCAGGTCAATGGTACACGAACTCGCCGCATCCAGACCTGACGACGAATAGTCCTGTATAAATATAAAAATAATAAAAGGTTAATGTTTATTTACGATAAACAGAGCTACTAAAACAAAAGCAGTTCAGGTATCCTGCATGTGCACAGGGGCTAGGGCTATGTACCTCTTCCTCCATACCACTTGAGACCACCTTCTGTACTTGAGATGATGCGGTATCCAGAGCATCGCTTGTTTTATCAAGTCCCTGCAATATTGCGTCCAACATACGGCAGCCATTACTAGCAATGGTTCTTAATCTACCTAGTGACGACAACTACACTACCAGAAAGAAACCAAAGTACCTCATCTGTAGATGGGGCGTCGATTGCCACACCACCTGAGACCACCTTCGGTACTTCAGATGGCACAGTATCTAAAGCATTGCTTGTTTTATCAAATCCCTGCATATTGTGTCCAGCATATGGCAATCATCATTATTAACAAGGTTATCATCTACCTAGTGACACTATTACTACCGGAAAAAAACCAATGTACCTAGTGACACTATACTACTGAAAAGAAACAAATGTACCTCATCTGTAGATGGAGCATCGATTTCCATGCATTGTGACGATTGTACCTCCTGTAGAATGATGCAGCGGAAACGATTTAAATTAAGAAACTGATAACCAAACAATCATGCACAAGCACAATCAGTGTACTAACCACGACTTCTGCTACTGTTGCTGGTGCAATGACTGCTGCCTCTTCCTACAAATTCATAGATTGCAATTGGTTAGTTAGAAACATTAGAATGGCAACTTCAACGCCTGCACATGACTCTGCTTGCCACATTGCAATAAGTTATTTACCTTTGCTGAATTGGTGCTTGGGCATAACACGGCACTGTATGTACAGAAGACGCAAGTTATTTATGAAAGGAAAAATTGGACAAGAAGTTTCCTGGAGTTAATGAATGGTGTGGTACCTTCCACTCGTTGCAGTAGGTTTAGCATCCTTTTGCTTCGGTTTGATAGAAGCAGAAAGCAAGCTTTCAGTTTTCTTTGCTGGGCGCATCATTACTTGAGACCTTTTACGGAATAAATAAAAATACACGATTTTAGTCAGCTCAAATCCATCACCAGCCTTTTTTTACAGGATTTATTAATGAACGGTGTAGTACCTTCCACTCATTGCGGGTTTGGCATCCTTTTGCTTCATTTTGGTTGGAGGAGAGACCGTGATTTCAGGTTGAGACCTTGTAAGAAATCAAAAACAAAAGTCAGTGACCACGACGTTAGTCAACTGCCAAGCTCAAATCGTTCACGAGCCTTATGCAATGAATGGTGTGGTACCTTCCACTCATTGTGGGCTTAGCATCCTTTGAAGGCATTTTGATAGGAGTAGACAGCGAGCTTTCAGGGTTTTTTGCTGAATGCATGGTTGGTTGAGACCTTGTAAGAAATTAAAAAGCAAACATTATCAGCACAACATAAATCAATTGCAAAGCTCAAATCCTGTAGCGGCCTTCTGAAATGAATTGTGTGCTACCTTCCACTCATTGTGGGTGTAGCAGCCTTTTGGGTAATTTTGATAGGAGTAGGGAGCGAGTTTTCAGATTTCTTCGCTGGATGCATGGTTGGTTGAGACCTTGTAAGAAATCAAAAACAAAAGTTAGTAACCATGACGTTAGTCAAATGCCAAGCTCAAATCCATTCTCTGTCATGTTAGAACCTAGGATGCTACCTCTTGTTGGCAATGGGAGTTCGAGATGCTTTTACTGCGCTCATATTCCATTGGGGCCGATCCTGCTGCTTCTCTACCACGGGATTCGGTTGGTGTGTAGAAGAAAGAATTGGCCTTGAGGAGCTTTTAGCAACTGCTGACAAGTTAACATCTGCCCTTTTGAAACTTGTAACGCTCACGGATCTGCGGCATTGTTCGTTAGCCGCTTGAGTGGCCACTTGACTCGAGCGAGCGGCCAAGCTGAGAGTAGAAACCGCATCTTGGCAGGAAACTTCTTCCTGCATCAACCATGAAGCGATAAAGAAAGTTTGAAATTGAATAATTATGACTGATACATATTAATATATTAATTCCAACAGGTAGGTAAGCTAGTAAAGCCTAAAAGAGTACACGCATAGCAAACAGTCACAAGTAATGCCAGCTTAATATGTTTAGGGCCACATGTTCTGTTTACTTACTAGCACCTAAGAATTTATCAGATCTGAATGTACAAAGATTGCACCGTAAACCCTAAAGCCCTACTTGCCAAGAAGGTTCTGTCATATAAATTAAAATTATGATGCCCAGCTTCATTTTTCTAGCAACTTGAATATTTTTCTAGCAACTTGAACACTTTGCCATACATACATACATATTCAGCTCTGCATGGTTGGTAGTCAAGGAACAAAAGTATTGCGACCTAATAAGGAGTAACAAAGTTCAATCAGCCTCTTCATCTAAGTCATGTCAGCTTCTTGGAGTGCTTACAAAGAGCTAGAATACGGGTAACTTTGCTCCCGGTACTAGGCTGACATACATACAGATTTACAATATGCAAACACTACTTATCTTCTTTCGTGCCTCTTGCAAATTGCAATGAACAAAACAACACCACACGAGATGGAGATGGTGAGCATAGCTTACCAAGCAGGCGATCACCACGGCCCCGCTCGTCTTGCACAAAGAGTCCTGCAGAATACGGGTAACTTTGCTCTGCCTGTACGGCACGAAGCTCTGGTTGCTGTTGAGCGCTTGCACGACATTCATCAAGGT